ACAACTTGTGGCAAAGTTTCCAGGAAAAAATAAATAACCTTGTGCAATTCATTTCAATCTTAAACCCTCTGCACAGTAAATTGAAGGTGGTGAGGGCCAGACACATGTTCAAAACACGCTCAGATTAGGGGGAAGAAATCAATAGCACAGACCAGGCTGGGTAAAATAAGAAGGCAAAGTCCTTGTGAGGTCCCAGAGAGTCAACTGCAGCTTCCTGTGAGGGGGCAGTGGCAGGAGCTGTCAGTGGGTGGGCAGCCTGGTTTTGGGTTCACAGCTGCAGCAAAAACTGCCCACAGAGTGAAGGCAGTGAAAGGCACAAAGCCAACAGGAGCTTTCTAGGGATGAAATTTATCTCAGCTCCGGGCTTAGGAGTTTTACATGGAGCAAGGCAGGAATAAATGGCCTTGCTGTTTAGGAAAATCTCTGCTGGCTCCTGGGATGGGGATGGCTGGGAAGCTGAAGGAGCTTCCAGCACCATGTGTGGAATAGATCCCTGAGTAGCTGCTGCCAGCTCCATCCCCACTTACCTGCACTGCTGGGGCCTGGAGATGATGTGCTGGGACAGAAGGCAGGGATAAGGATATTTTTTGGATCATGGCTGGAGAAGGAGTAGGAAGATGACTTTATAATTGGTTTTTTATCACTCTTTCTGACTATATTGACTTAATACTTGACACAGCTTTGGCTGGCAAGGAAGGCCCAGATACATTCAGAATTAGATATGACGAGGCTCATTCTTACATGAGAAGAAAATCATCGGTTGCTACAGAAACGGCTCCATATCAGTCTCGTGGGGCATCTTTGCATCTGGCTTTTTTTCCCTTCTCTTTTGCTAATCTGTAGATAAGAGTCAAAGCAAGTGCAGCACATCCCACATCTATATAAAAGGTTGGAGGAACTCTGCAGAGAGCAAAGTGTGAAAGAACATCTCATAGATAAGCTAAACTTAAATGAATGAGTTAATTTACACTTCCCCTGCAATTTTTTTTCCTAGTTTTGCAACTCTTGCTAAGTTAATTGAGGTGAAAATTAAATGACACCAGTCAGCAAATATTTTAAAGACCTCCAAAACCAAGGAAGAGAAAGGAGGTACTTAGAAAAGGAGCTACTAAGAAACAGGAAAAAAAATCTGAGGAGTGAGTTAGAATCTGTGTTGAGAAAATTGCATCTTGCAATGGAATAATAATCCAGATTCACTTTCAGGCAAGTTGTTTGACTTGATAAATTCAGGAATTAGTTAAAAGTAAGTGTATATTATGGGTGAACAGGGACCATTCTGCACACTGCAGACCAGCTCACCAACAACGTTCTTCAACTGGTTTCCTAAAATGTAATGAATTCTTGATGCTTAGCAGATTAATATTTATTGAGTGAATCAATGCTTAATTTATTAAAAAATTGCCTTCCTTGTATTTTAATATGATTTATTACTCATCAGCGCTTATTGCATTAATTAAGGATTGTGTTAATTTTGTGGAAGTGAGCACGATCCGCTGCAGGTTTGCTCCGAGCCCTGGTGCGCTGGAGGGACTGTGCCTCTGGTAGTGCCAGAGATGGAAACTGCTCCAGGTGGGAACAGGATGAATCACCAGTGGCCTCTTCCTGCCCTTGGGATCTCAAACATTCAGCACAGTGGAAAAGAGGATGCTGCCCCTTAAGGGCAGGACAGGATTACAGCAGCAGCAGCGATACTGTGATGATGCAGGGAATATTTCTGTTTGCCTCTTATAAATTATGGCTGATGCTGTGGGGATCATTTTTGTGTCTCTTGTGGAATGCCCTTTTGTCAACATGGGTGAAATCCAGCCTCAGAGACATGGGAAGCTGTCACCACTTTCCCAACCAGGGACAGCACTCATCACATTTCAGTGCTCAGATTGTAAGAAATTCTTGGGACAGTGGGTTGCCTGAAGATTGGGATGGTCCCAAGCATCTCAGCAGGGGCAGGTGTTTGAGAAGTGGAAAATTCCTAAAGGCAGAACAAAAAAAGCCAGACATCTTGTGAGCTGAGTCTTTCAAGAAATCTGTCAAAACAGGGAGAGGGTGATCATGCTGGAGGGGGGCCACAGCTGCAATTTGCATCTTTCAGCACTGAAGAAAGAAGCAAATACATAAAGCCCCACAGCCACGATTCTTCTGATGAAATTATTTTATTAATGGGTGTGACATTTGTAATGTCTCTCTCTTTAAATTCAAATACTGCTGTTTTTATAGCTGCTCATAAGTGAGTCTGTCTGGGAGTTTTGGTTTTTTTTAATCCATCTAGTTACTAGGCTGCCTGCATCCAGCTGAGCCCTGGAAACGGCAGAGCTAGCCCTGACATCTGAGAGCAGGCAGGAATTTCCTGAAAGTGATTGTGTCCATAATTAGGGCATCTTTGCATGTTTAAATGCACGATTCTGGAATGCACTCTGCTGTTTGCTTCTCTGCAGGACTGGGGTGAGTGTACACAAACTTCCCTGGAGGAGCTAAAGCAGAGAAAGCTCTCCAAGGTCCAGTGAAGGTCAGAGCTGAGAATTTTTTCCTCCCTCTGTCTGCAGGCAAGCAGGAATCACCGAGCTCCAGCCTGGAGCACTTGGGTGCAGCCAGTGCCAGGAACCTGGTGGCATTTCAAATCCCTTGCAGCAGTTAGGTGTTAGATGCAAAAGATCAGTGCTGCTCCACTTGAAGTCAGAGAAATGACTTCAGCTTAAAGTTCAACATATACACAAAGACTTCCTGGATCTGGAGTTAATTTGTTTCTTCCAAGGTCAGCTTGAAGGCAGCATTACAAAAAGTTACAAACTGAACATTTGACTTGTAATAATTTCATTTTACTTCCCATTTGTCTGACCTGTCCTATGTGCTTTTGTTTTCCTGACGCATCAAGCTAAGCTTTTTTGGTTTTTCACTTAATGTTTATTTTTACCCCATTTCAGGACTGGGGCCCAGTTGGGCTGCATGCCTTTCTCTCTGTTCCATATCTTTACATTTTCCAACTTTCTTTGATGCAGGATATTTATATTCCACCTTTTTTCCTAGCAGAGAGGCTTTCACGGAGTTTAGGCTTCAGATATATATTTTCTGCTCTGGCTGCTCATTAGATATACAGCATTTGGAGTTCCAGTTGTGCTGAGAAATGTAAGCAAACTTTGGGCCCAGTGGGGGCTGAGCTCTGGCATTTCACAGCTTTGTACATATGAATCAGGATTAAGGTGTAGGATCTATATAAAATTTAGCTCATTAGGAGATGTTTCGTCTCCCAGCTCCCCTTGGGAAGGTGGGTCCGGTGCTCACACATAGGATTTCTTACTCTGCTTTGCTGCTCCCAGGGAAGGAGGAGGATAAGCAGGTGACACAAGGCAGCAGCAGGGTTTTCTGCTCCCTTTTACCATGGCACACCTGGAAAAAGGTTTGGCCCCAGTATTTTAGACTAAAGCAAATATGCTCGAGCACACTGCTAAGGTCATGCTTGGAATGACTTAGCAGAGTGAAGAGAACAAGGAGCACCTCTGGAAAAAGATAGATAGGAATTTTCTCTCAAATATATTTTTTGTTGTGCCAGAGGTAAGGAACTGAAGGCCAAGAAGGTTTCAGAAAATGTGGGGTTTTTTCCAGCCTGACACCCCACTTGGCATTCCAGCAGGCCAAATGTTCTGTTGTGCCCCACACAGCTCAAGTGTATTCAGTGGATAACCAACTGTGTCCATGCACTTCAGACAGTGAAGCTTAACCACAGGGAAATGATGGGTTTGGGAAGGAGTTTCATCAGTCATGATTTCCAAGGAAGAGCTCTCAGGGTAGGGAATGCCAAGTCAATGTTTCCTCCTCAAGGACTTTCAGCTGTCACATAGGGAATACAGTGAGCGCAGTGATGAGAATTAGATTGGAAGATCAATAGGGCTGACAATAAATGCAAGTAACACAGACATTATTGAGCAAATTAGGAGAGAGAAATTAAACTGGACAGTATAATCTTCAATACCTGCTAGACACACTGATGTTGGGCAAAGTTAGGAAGAAGACAGTAAGTTGGAAAGTGCTATGATGAAGGGGCAGTAGCAGTCTGTCTGTGAGGTGGGGAAAGCCCTGCTTGTGACAGAAAGCTCTCAGCCCACAGAAAAGTGGAAAAAGATGATAATGGTCCAGGAGCACCTGGATTTAAGTGGCAAGCTACAGAGAGACAGTGGGGGAGAGATCATCTGAGACTGGGAGCATAGAGTAGGCAACAGCACTGGCCACGTGTTACGAGAAAAGGGAACCTCAGATGCACCCACCATTACCAAGGCTTTGGTGGGATTTTTGGCTTGTTCCAGGCCAAATATTTTCCTAACTTTCTCATAGTACGGGTTTGTTCATCCTGTGAAGGTTTGCTGCCATTCCAGAAACCAGTCCTCTGTGTAAACTGGATTATTTGCCATTAGAACTGCCTGTATTTTGCTGTCTGTACACATATTCAGTGATGATCAGATCTGGCAAGCTTTTGGGATGAGGGATATCCAGTGGCAGCAAGATCCATGGGCTGACTGCACTCAGCATGTAAAGAAGCTTTCCTTTTATCAGTCCTGGGTTTGTCTAGATCCTTTTGCACACCTTTGAAAGGTTCACCCCAAGGCAATATAATTGTGTTTGATCACATACAGGCATTGAGTCAATGATTGATATGAATAAAGAATTTAGAGTTGCTTGTCCTGGTTCCATGTCTTCTTCCCTGTGGAATCAGAAATCACTTTTATAAATATATCGGTCCATCTGTGCTTCCAGCTATCCATTTCAAGTACATGTTCCAAAAAAGAAATAGTAACACTTTATAAGGGCAAATAAAAACACATTAAAAGGACTGAGGAAGGGGATTTTACTCCCTCATAAAGTACATGTGGATCCCTTCCAAAAGAGTTACAGTGAGCCATGTAACTTGTAATTAATCCTGCTGTAAATGTCAGAACACTTACTTTGCAGGTCTAAGCTGACCCGCTGAAATTAGTCCCCTTTTAACAATTCCTTTATAATTTGTTTTTCAGCAGAAGCGGCGGCTTGACCTCCTGACAATAACCAGCCCCGGTAAGTGAGCTCTGCCGCGCCGCTCTCTTCTCTTTTCTTAAAGAGATGGTTGTCTAAATGTGTTTTTTCCCCCATCTCTGACATGCAAAATGAAAAACACTGTTCCCCAGAAAATCTTTCACCTAATAACAAGTGACAGCTATATTGTGCTCGGCAAAGCCCCGGGCAGTTATCCGTTCACAGAGCTGCCTCCTCAGACCTTTACTCTATGAATTGGAGTGCTGATATTTCTTTAAGTCTCCTGGGGTTACAGTTAGTGGTATATCTGCAGGGCAGATGCCCTCAAATTCATAGACTGTGTTCAAGTACCACAGAAATGCAAGCTTGACTTTCCTTGGTGGCAAATGGGAGCAGTTTGGGGAGTCGGGAGATGGTGGCACTCGATGTGTGTGGAAGGAGACACAAGGTCCAGGCTCAAGGCTGAGAACCCCAAAGTGGGGCAGGAAATATTTGGTGGAATTAAAATGCCTTAAACCATCTTCTTTCTGATTTTGTAATTTATCTGTCAAGGAGATAAACCAAAATTTGTTCTTCTTGGGAAAGTGTGGGGCTGTGGCAAGAGTGATTTTTGAAGGTCTCAGCAGGGTGGTGGAAATGCAGGTTGGTTCAATTGTGCTCCTATGTGATCTCAGCCCTTAAGGCTGGGGGGCTTTTAATTTATTCCTCTTTGCCTGGCTCACTTTCTTTCCATTAGCTGCTACAGAAGTTTGCTGCCCATCAGCTTCAGATGAAGCCCTGCTCAAATAGTGCCACATTTAGGTTTAACTTTGTTCATTTTTCAGATGTGTGTATGAATTAAGCTTTCAGGTGGGCTTTAACTGGGACTAATGAATTCTGGCCTTAACTGGTAATAATGTGCTAGCAGAGTGAACAGGTGTTATGGGAAGTGAACAAAATATGACACACATTTGCTTGGATAACAATTTCGCATCAATAATTGTTCTGACACTCTGAATGTAGATATAATCTGTGACATGGTTTCTCCTTCACTAACCTTGTTAAAATAATAAGAATTAAAATAAGGAGGAGGCACACTTTGTTGGGACAGATGTTTGAGGCTATTGGCAATTGCATCACATTTTTGCATGTTCACTTTTCACGCAGTTTGCAATTATGTTAATGTATGCTCAGGGCACTTGCTGATAAAAGCAACAATACAGTGTGATACAGCTATTGTCACTATTCTAACTGTAACTTCAAGGACAAACATGGCACATTTTTCATTTTCCATATCTTCAGCATTCCCTGTTTCTAGAGGAAAAAGGAAAAAAAAAAAAAATGTCTGAAGGTCTTAATCATAGCACACACTCAGATCTTGGATAAGGGCACCAAACTCTACAGGCACTTTTTCAATAAGAGAAATGAGAGCTGGGGACCAGAATTACTTAATATGAGACTTTTCTGTAAAACAAACTTATGATACTTTTCTCATAATTTCTGACACAGTATTCAGTGTAAAAGGGTTGATTGGGTTGAGCTTGTGTGTAGATGTGATCAGTAAATAGCTGATCAGTTCTCTGTTTAATAAAGCAATCTACTAAATGAACACAGCAATTAGTTAGAAGGATTTTCAATAACGGTGTAGGTAGGCATGCTGCACTAAAAGTGGGGGAAAAGCTTTCTATAACAAAGAAAATACCTTTTCTATACCTTTTCTGAAATGCAAATTTTAGCCTTTGATATTTAACCAGAAATCTACCATAACTGTATACAGAGGGGAAAAAATAATATTTGTTCATGATTACATAATAAAGTGCCTGTAGTTTTTCCTTCAATAAAGGCATTTTCAAAAGAAGCTTGGTGCTGGATCAGGCCAAACTTACCAAAGAGCCTATAGCTGAGATTTTTCAAAAGGGTTGAAAAAGTTAGGCACTCAATTTCTAGTAGGATTGGAAAGTGTCAGCCTGTGGATTAAAGGGTCTACTTTCAGCCCTACAAATACAAAAATAAAATAAAATAAATCATAGCCTTGGGGCTTTTATCTGTCTTTGGAGACTGCTACTTTAAAATATTTAATTCTTTGAGTCCTAGTTCTAAGATCTGACATTGACAGTCTGCTTTTACAAAGTCGTGATATCAGTTATGATGGCTGAGATCAGCCATAATCACTGTCAACCCTTAATTTACTGATTCAAATGAGGGGCTGAGCTGTTTAGTTGCACCTGCCAATCCTCTGGGACTTGTTTCTGTTCTCCACCTTGCCGCAGGCAGGCAGCCTTTGCTTTTGGCAGAGGTCACACATCTTTAGCTGGAATTGTGAAAGTCCTCCGTGTCCCACAAGGGGTGCTGGCCACCAAAACCCCATTGCTTAATTGTAAGAATAGACAAAGGGCTTCAAAAGAAAGGGTGACCTCTGAGATTTGCACTTCTGTCACAATGAATATCATCTCTCTTTCTTGTGTGTGTGTGTGAAGCTCTTGAACCAGTTTTTTCTACCTTTAGTCAAGAATCGATGGTGATCCCTCCCAGATAGTACAACAGCTGTTCTCCATGTGCTACTAAAACAATTTCCAAAAACTGATCAGCCAATTAATGAGACTAATTGCAAGGTTAAATAATGCCATTAATGTAAGTTTTGTTGAGACTCAGGTGCCGAAATATTTAAAGGGAGTTTGTGGAATCACAGAAACCTTAATGTTGTCTCATGGCAGTCACCCTGCTCCCCATGGCCATGGCTGCTGCATGATGCCCCAGAAATCCCCCAGAAGGATCAGAATTTGTTTCTTGTTCCCTGAATCTCACTCCTGCCTGTGCTGTGCTGAACCCACACTGAGAGTGACCCAGAGCTGCCTCTTGCCCTGCTCCATGTGGCTTCCAACCCCCAAGCAATGTGTGCTTGTCTTCCTGATACCTGCCTCAACAGGTGCTGGGCTTAAAAGCACATCTGTATGCTAAACTGAACAGGTATAGACCATTAATCTATACCCTGGACTGAAACAAGCCTGGGTAAAAGTGAAAAAAAATAAAAGAAACAGGAATACAGATGGCTGGAGCTGCAGCTCCAACTACACTGTTTGAATGCAACATGCAGGGCTCACCTCTTCCAGCACCCTAATAAAGCAGGTATGGCAAGCTCCACACTGTGCCCCAAACTGGAGGAAGTCTTTGCTTTGCTGTGGATCTCCAGAAACAGCCAGACACAAATGATGCATAAGCTGGGAGCAAGCCAGGCTCCCTCGTGCTCACATATATTCCTTTGAAGTAACTGACACCCCTGTAAAATGTGGAGGGGAGTTCTCTGCTCTGCCTTGCTGCTGAGGAGCTGGAGGAATGCTAAGTTAAATTTATCAATGCTCTCACCACACTGCTTTCTTCTTGCCCCTTGACATGTGAGGTGCAATTAGAGTGCTGCTGTAGAGTTCAGGGTGCCTGAGTCAGGGCTGGTGTGCGCAGTGGGGTGGGGGAAGGATGTTAAAAATTCATTAGGAGCTGGCAGGGACATGCTGGCAGGGAGTGGGACATAATGAGATTTAAGTTTTGATAATTCAAATTTTCTTTAAACACAGCTTTACCCCTGAATTGGATCCAAAACATTTCCTTAACACTATTGTAGTTGTCTTTGAGGTTTAGCACCAAAGCTTGAGGTGGTTTAATTTGGCCTTGTTGCACAAAGGAGACGAGGATCTGCCCTTCATTTCTCTGTGATCATGTTCTAGTAGCACTTTGAACACGCACATGCAATCACATCACATTTTGTGGTAACCACTCAATAGCTGCAAATAAGATACCCCTGTTTCCATAGCTTTTCCATGGAGACACAGCTTTTTGCATCTCCTGTGTTTATGATAATAACACAGCTTTCCAATTTCTCTTCTCAGTAAGGTAAGTTCCTCTCCCACTGAAGTATTTTTTAATTATTGATACCATAAATGGAAGTGTGTTGGAAACTATTGGCTTTGAAAATAGCTAACATGTGATATTATCCAAGAACCATCAGGAAAATTCTTTTGAAATTCTCTTTGATTCAGCCATCCTCAGGGCTTTATCCTTCTCTACCAGTCTCTCTACTGCCAATTTAAAATAACATTCTCTTGAAATCAGTGCAATGTCAGGAGAAATTCATCAGCACCGTAGGTGCGTGTTTCCCAGATGTACATAAACCTACTACATTTGGCAGCAGTAAATTGATTGCATTTAAAAAACCTGGGGTAGTTGAATATTCCGTAGTGTCCAGCTTGGCTACAGCACGGAATATAAAGCAATTTTTTTTAAGTTTCTTTCAGCTCTGTTTTAGATGAAAAAATGTAAGTGCTGACTCTGTAATTCCTGGCTTTTGATTTACTCAGATTTTCCTAATGTGTAAACCACATCGGAGCTTTACAGGCAGGGACAGAGTAAAATAATCCTGATCTCTATTGAGATTTGGTCAGAAGTGTTAATGGCTTCTACATGCTTCCTCCTAACATTCAAGATCTTACACTTTTAAACAGGGAAAAAAGCTTGATTTTAAAAGTATTTATCAGTCTGATCTATGTGGTGAAATATTCTCCCCCCTTTAATATCATCAGTGCTGCATGCTCTAAAAATGTCTCCATTTCATTAATTTGTGATATACTGCTACCCTGAATTCTTTTAAGGTGGCTTTAGCTTCTGCCATACATATTTTACTGCTTTAAATTATAGATATAGGACTGTTGCCTAGTTAATTTCCTCTGGTTAGGAAAATATATTTCTGCTCTCCTGGCATTGCATAAAGTGATATGTGGGATTTGCTATATTTTTTAGCTGATTAAGTTTTGCATTTCTACATATTACTGTTTATGAGACCTCAAGTAAAAGTGCGTAAAGGAAGGAGAAGTTTTATAGTATATTTCAAAGTTTCATTTAACTATAAATTTCACCACTAAGCCCTGCTACAAGACTTTTCCATTACCTTCCTGGATAGTCTGGCTATCAACTTCTTTCTAATTGAAGCATGAAAATAATATGAACTCAAAGTCATGAAGCTATAAGACAGGTATTAGTAAAAATGATACCAACTAATAAAATGTGACAGAAAG